CAAGCGGATTTTGGGTCATTCAGGAGCCTCAGGAACTGCTGGCACCAGCCATTCTTCCCTTCTTGCAGTCACCACAGGTCTAGTGCAATCTCTGCCCACATGAATTCTGGTATGCTTCTCCACCGTGGACTTGAAAGAGTGCGATGCTCCCAAGACACCGGCAAGAGCTCGATTGGCGCACCAGAGCGCGGGCAGAAAACGCACGGGGGATGCGTACCGTGCATAACACGATTTCCGTGAACAAAGACTCCAACAACAGGAAACCTGTTTATCAGGTTCAGCAGGTTTTGAAATGAACCTAGCCTCCCACGGGTGGATGCGGTCGGCGTCGCACTCTGAACACTGGTCGCAAATTCAGCTCGCCGGAGCTGCATATGTCCTGAACTATCCAATGGAGCTTTCCTGCTATACCAGTACTGTGCAGACGAAATTAGTTCATGTCCACACCGGATCTCCGAACTCTGAGCCTCATGTCATCTCTGCACGCACGGAGAGGGCGATGCGTGCTGCCAGGTAGTCTCAGGAGGTTCGGGGTGCCGCATGACAACTTCAAGTGAAGGCTGTGCCATTCTGATCCCGAAGCCAGTCAGGAGTATATAATCATGAGGCCAAGACGATCCGTTTCAATCGATCACTCGATGAGAAATCAAATAGATATCGTTTGTAGCACACCACTTCAGTTTGTTCGTTGACCCCTCCCGGTGCAAAATGCTGAGGAATCTGACCGCAGCAATGCTTCTACCAGTAGAACAGATATAGCACACGACCAATTCAACAACTTTGCCAGAGGTCATGAGCTGCACGTCGCTCGCACCTTCTCGAAACTGTCCGTACACTCCGCAGGCGGCTGGGTACTTGCATGATTGGGACACCTGTGCTTGGTGTATTTACGGGTTCAGGGCTATGTTTCGGGGCACTATTGCCACTTCTGTGATTGCTGTTGCTGGCAGAGGATCTTAGCTCCAACAGTTCGGAAACGGCGGCTGGTGTTCCAGGGCCGGACGGTGTTTGAACTTCAAGCCCCACGCCCCTCAGCAGCCAAACTCTGAAAGGTGTTATGTAAGCCGCATGCATCTTCACTAATCGCAACAACGCGAATCCCGTAGTTCACCGGAAGTCCCTAAACCCTAAACCCCCCCTAAACCCCCTAAACCCCCCTAAAACCCCCCTAAACCCACCCTAAACCCTAAACATCGTCAGTCCCAAGTCTTAAGCTCAAAATGCCCTAAGTTACAAAGTCGCAGCGTAAAGCACGGCCTGAAGCTTACAACCCGGAGCATCGCTAAAGCCCCCCAGAAGCCCGCAGAAAAACCTAATATAGGGGGCTTCTATACTTACCTATACTATTTTGGGGTTCCTTATCATATTTAGAGTATAATGGGCCCCAAGACCCTATTCTTATTATTTAGGGTCCCTTATATTCGACTTATTAGACTCTGTAATGCGCATTTCCCCAAACTTCATAACCATGCCTTTGACCACTTTTGCGATTACGAGGGCGCACGGAGCTGCCGCCTGCCAGGGAGGCTGGGTGGTATAGGGTTTAGGGTTTTGGGTTTAGGGCTTAGGGTTTAGGGGGTATTTGTCATTTGCTTGTGTACAGTGCGTATCTGAGTTTACATGACTTTACAGTCTGTTTGATACTGTTGCGGCTGCGATGCTAGCGTCGGCACTATTGCGATTATTATGACTGCTGTTGGATCATGAAGGTGACTCCTGACGGTGGAAATAGGAACGGTTCTGTCTATCATTACTGTTAGCATCGTTACAGCCTATCCACTACGTAGTATTACAGGAAGAAACGCCTATCGTCTTACTCCTAGAAACTATGTTATGACTCATGCTCGTGCTATTGTAAACGCCAGCACTATCACCAGCAGTGCTGCAATGATTTGTTGTTTCTGTCACTGCTGGTACCCATTCGACGATTGTGTGGCAGTGACATCACATGATGCAGCCAAGACACCGACAGACCAGTGGGCCCAGAGAACGGTGATGCCAGGCGCGCAGCCCCCGTCCCTCACCAAGGGGAGCAGGCAAGCATGTTCTGTTGCAGGATGGGGCTTGCTGTTTGAATGCCGTTTGACATGGCCTATTCGCAGGCGGCCACCATCCGTCGGCACGTTGAAGATTTGTGCATGCTTGTACAAGATCAGACTCACGAATTCAGGCGTGTCTCACTCGTCGCAAAACGGCCTGCTGTAAGGACAGCATGGCAATTAGTGCATTGCAGCAGCAAGTTCAAGGATTCCACGATCCTTGTCACCATCCTCACGTGCAGCCCGGAGTTCTGAAACGACGTAGGTTTGTCGTGCACCTGCACGCTGAGCGCAGATTCCTGAAGGCATGCTGGCAAAGACCCCGGCACACGGCAAGTTGTAAGCCAGCCGGTGTGGGGGTCCAGACCTCTAAGGAGCGTCACCTTCCAGGCGCAGGGTCACGCTCGTCACGCCTGGAGGAAGCTGCGGTTCTCCCGTAGAAACAATCTTGACGGGCCCGGGGTCAGGCCCCGTAGTGGACAAATATCTACTTGTACCCTGGTTCATGTCGGTTGCTGACGCCCAGGTCCGCTAAAGTACGATAGACCGACCGGTATTCAGCAGTTGGCCGCGCAAACCAAAACGGCCAGATGCCGGAACAGGTTCCGACTGAGCCTGCCCAGCGACTGCAAGTCAGATTGTACTATAGGCGCCTCAGTAATTACCAATATTAATTTGGAGCGGAGGTTCCTTATTATTAATAACTAAAGTATAATATGTCCAAAAACCCTATTCAAAATATTAAGGCCTCTATATTGCTCATGGGGAGGTGCTGGGCGGCACCTTCAGCGGTACCATCACGGCCTACAACAAGAAGTTCGGTGTGGGCCCTGCCTGGTTCAACTCAACTCCTATGCAGTTGGGAAATTTTATGGGCTCAGCGGTAGAGGCTGACGGAGCCTGGAGGTAGTACTCGCACACACGATCGGAAACAACACACTTACGGGGATCCCGAAACTTCAAGCATTGCCTTAGGTTGGGGCTTCATCCTGCCCGACAATGTGGAGGCCGCTGTTCTCGAGTTAGGTCACAGATTGCAGTTTGGCGTCCGATAGATCAAGCCAAGACAGTTAGAGGAATGAGCATGTCCTCGGCATCATCAGTATCAGAGGGCTGCTGAGCCCGTTTGCAGGAACTACCCGAAGAGGCGCAGATAAAGATCGCCGAGGCGACGTTTACTTCCCAATGTTGGTTTCCATCACCTTGTGCATTGAACGAGCCCTGGAGCCTTGCATGGCTTCAATCAGAACCAGGATCCCCTCCATTGCTATAGCTGACGACGATGGTGATGATGATGATGATGATGGTTGTGACCATCCGGAGCTCGATGATCTCCAAGTAGATGTTGTCATTGCTCGCGACGGTACCAGCATAAACAGAAGTATCAACAGGACCATGTTGAAGTTGTGAAACTATCAGCAGTGATACTGGACATGGCGATGATAAAGATGGTGACGACTTTACTGACGATAACCAGGATGACAGCTTTGCAGATCACAAGTAAGGTCACGGAGAATGCGCCGCCGATGATCGTAATGATGGTGACGGCATTGTTGATCTTGTCGATTCGATGGCGATGCTGCTGCGGATGACAGTGACTACCATGAGGAAGATGATGAGGAGCAGGATAAGCTTGAGGAGGCTGAAGGTGGTGATGCTGATGACGGTGGCGACGTTGATAGTGATGCCAAGGGCCACGAGTACACTGACGACAGAGCGCTGACGATGATGTTTCCTGTTCACACTTGCCTGATGCAGCTAAGCGCAAGAAAATAAGCTTCAATCTAGTGATTCAAGATCCACAAAATCATAAGACGAGGCTTGGCACTGTAATTATACGATTTTCAATACTCAGCAGCATATTCAGGCCAGCGAGCAGGCGGTCAGCAATGGCAAATCTGCCGCTTGGCCTACCAAAATTCGAGTTTCATCCTGATGGTAGCCAAAATACAAATATCTGCTCCTGGGCAGTATCAAGTTGTGCATGGGCCCTGCCTACACGCGTCAGGGTCCAGCGTACTAAGTGATCTGCACATGAGGTCACCAGAGAACCATGCTCTTGTGAGCTGCATCGGATTCTGCTGACCTCTGACTGAGGGCCAGAGTCTGCTGTATTTCCGGAAGCCGGACATCACAGAGGGATGCGAGGCCTGGCGCTGCTCTGACAAGTAGCTGGAGTACTGCAACGAACTGCCTTGAAGTCCTGAAACCTCCTAGGCATATACCGACCTTGGGGCTGGATACCTTGCTTACCTTCGGGGCGAGCACATCAGATATGCCCGTCTGAGATGCTGTCTGCAGGCCGACAGGGAGAAGGCGTGCACATTCTCCCTCTACGTGGATGACAAAGGTGCATGACTGGTCGGCTTTAGGTCATGTAGTTGAAAGACCTGCTCCCGCCACTGGTACGGACTATACTATACTTACAATCAGGAACCCCCAACAGAGTATTCGTATTCGTATTCGTATTGGTTTAGGCTCCTACATCACTGGCACCGGCAGCTGAAGCTTTTCTTCTGTCTTTTGTGCCCAGGTGCTGGCGCTTTGGAAGTCACCTGCTGAACAGCGGTGCTTCCCACGGCTGCGGCTGGCGCAAAAGAGAGCTCTCCAGGTGCTATTATGTTTTTAGGAGAATGGGGGCCCCAAAACCCTATTCTAATCATGAAGGCCCCTTTTTTTTTAGCGGACCCCCATGTCTCCGTCCAGGAGCAGAACCGTCGTGGCAGGATGGTGGTTAGCTACCCCGGTCCTCCCGAGTCTGAGCCTATTGCGGTCGTCGAGTCCCGGGTTCAGGTTTTAAGTTTGAGGTCTGGGGCAGCTGAGCTCGATGCTGCATGGTTGAGGGCATCTGACCGGGATGGACTCCAGGGTTTCGGACACATTTTCGGACTCCCAGGCCTTGGCAAACCCGCTAAACTCACCATGCCGGTCGAGAAAACCCTAGACCCTAAAGTATCTGAGGTGGGCCTTGGGTCTGCTCCTGGCCAGTGCGCAGGCACAGTGGAAGGGAGAAGACGAATCAAGGGCTTTCAATGCTTGGGGCATGTTCAGGGTTTAGACTTTAGGGATGTTCAGGGTGTGGGGATCAAAAGGTCTTCGGATACATAGCTTGGATATGCTTGGATAGTATCGGGCCAGTAGTGTCTCCTTTCCTACCCGCGCACCGGGCTCCAGGATTCCTCTTCGCTTCCCAGTGGCTCAGCGTTCTTCGGCCCCTTGTTGGAGTTGAAGAGCAACGCTAAATGCCATGTGGCACCCGAACTTGCTTTGGAAACTCCACGACCTCACGTTCTTCAACGGCACAGACCATTCTCTCACCCACACACACACAGACAGAGACAGAGGTACAGACACCGATACATGGACATACGCAGGCGCGTGTCGATGGTAATGGTGGAGCAGACAGCCAGAAAGGGTGTTCCGAACCGTTCCAGGTAGGCCAAGCCGCGGATACCTTGATGCCCATTGTGGGAACTGCGCGCGTGGGCACCTGGCTCCTGAGTAGAGCTCTGGCTTGTACCGCAGCGGAAGCATGTGCTCAGAACATGGCTTTCGAGCGGAATGTTGTTTGATGAGGGTGAAGGAGGCTTTGGAGAAGTTGTTGCCGAACTTTCAGGACATTTCATTGCAATTGACGATTCAAGCAGAGGTAGGAAACTGAACCTTGAAATGACTACTCACAAGTGCGAGTTGGGAGTGGAGACTGGCAGGGAACCGAACGAACTTGGTGGAGGTGCAGAGCTCCGACGAAACATCTAGCGTCGTATCCTGAGCTCGGAAGCGTGTCCACCCAAACCACAGAACCCGAGAACCCGATACCCTGAACTCTAAAGTTGTCAAACCAAATGAAGCAGGCCCCAACCGGCACACAGGCTCCTCCCGGTAAGGGAGTTTTTGGCTAAGTTGTCCTCAGCCTGCGCTTGCTCCCCTCGCCGAGCAGCTGAAGGTGCCAGAGAACTCCTCCTGCAGTGGGCCGATGGCCCGGGATGCAACAGGATTGGAGTGTGCCGGTGTGCCGTCAGAGCTAGAAGCTACCGGTAGAAGCTGTATCAAGTTGAGGCTTTCGGGTTCAGGGACTGAGCCTGAAGTAACGAAGCGAGGCTTCGGGGTCGAGGCCTTGTGGCTCGGTTAAAGCTTTCTAGGATGCTCCAACCTTTGCGTAATTCCGATCTACTCGTAGAACCTTCCTTTGAGGGTTGGGGAAAGAGAGTTTGGTGACTGTGAGACTGCTATGACAGCCCACTTGGTTACGAGACAGTCGGAGCTGCAGCAGCTTAGACGTCTGATCGCGCAGCCAGGGCTAGAAAGCTATGCCACGATGATTCACTGGATCAGGCCAAAACCTTTGAAGCAGAATTGCCTCTGCTGGTGTGGCCGGCTGCACATTGAAAGGGTTCGACGAAGTCGGGATTTCTCGCGTCGCTCATAGATGGGCTGCTCAGGCTGCGATTTTGGATTTGGAACCGGCACGGTCGTCTTTCAGAGTCGGGATGTCGGGTAAAACTGTGGGGCTCCCCGTCTCTGGTAGCTTCTGCGGGCTCATGGCATCATGTGTGCCTTTAGTCGTGAAGGGGTCGGGCCCTTCTTGGATGGGGCTGCATTGGAAATCTACGCACATCTGGAACAAAGGCTACTTGGAGGATCATGGGACTTAGTAACTAGGGTTATAAATAAGGTAACTATACTTATAACTCCAATTAGGGTACTTATAACCTTACTTACTAAGTCCCATGATCCTCCAAGTAACACGAGGCACATCACGAAGCGTTAATAAACATGAGGAAGCAGCAGCAAATAATCGGAGCGGCACTCGACAACAGAACCAGTTAAAACACCCCAAAGCTCGCTCATAACACTGCGCATTTAGAATATTCAACAACTCACACCAGAAGATAACGAACAACCACCAGGCATGACACAGGAAACGGCTCAGTCAGTTCTACAAACCCGACACAGAATCAATCAGTTTGAAAAACCCAAAACAGACTCTAGCCTTTGCCAAACACGCAGAATATCACAGAAAGCAACGAAAACGTGCTAATACATAGCAACATGAACATGCATACTACGAGCGACTCCGAAAATCAACAGGACACCCCAGGCAAAACAAACGAGTTGCTCGACATGAACATCCAGGCTTTCGGTGAGAATTCTCGGAGTCCTTAGAATCCAAACGGAACGAGCCATGAAAGCACACCGGAACCCTTCGACTTTTGTCTTACACAGTGAACGATCTCGGCGATCTTCCAATTCCACTGAGACCCTTATCAAGCAGACCCCATCTCCGGGGAAAAGATTTGGGCTCCCGATGTCGCTCAGCCAATGCACCTGTAGCATGGCCAGGAGGAGTGGACGGAAGAGCCAGATGAGGACGGAGCTTGACTGACCTCTGTGTGTGTGTGTGTGTGAATCCCTTAGGCAGTTCCTCCGTTCTCCTTTCAATCCTCTTTACCCATCTTGGCCGCTGCTGTGCTGATACAGCTGAGTCCGACGACTGGAGCCGGCGACGACGAGAGCTCTTGAGTTCCTCACTCCGTCGAACCTTTGAAAGCAGATCCTCGTAGCCCACATGCGATGATGATGGTGGTGAAGCTGAAGATCGCGACCTTGCTTGGATAGTAATTAAATTAATGATATGATCAGGAAGTTTCTGATGGACTTGATGAAAGGGTTGGTGATCGCGTTTTGATGAGGATGATGATGCTGATGATGGTCATGGTAGTGGTGATGATTGTGACGACGATGATGGTCATGAAAGAGATGGATGGTGCCACAAGGTGGAGGACGACGAGGAGAATGTTCGCACAAATGAAAAACAGTATGATTGATCCATGCCTGTATCTTGCTATCCGCAGGAAAGCTTCATGCCAGCTCGCCTCGCACTGAAGCAGGCGACGCAAATCACCATGTCTGTCTGTTGGCCTCACGGTCTTCGATTGCTCGACGGTTTCGCGGTGTTTATGGCTTCGCGACTTTGGAAGGGGGCTTGGGTTAAGCAGGGCTTGCACAGCTGTGCTCTGAGACCTGCTGTGTGTCTGTGTGTTGCCCTTCTTTGTTGGAGCGCGGCTTTTGCCGGTTTGGCACACCTATGACCTACCTCGTGAAACTTTCGAGACGTGCTGCTCAGGACGTGATCGAGGCTGTGCTGTGCTCGGTCGCTGTGCGCAGTTAAGACCATGGTTCCAAAATCTGCAGGCCTCCGAAACCGAAGCCATAGAAACGCATAGTATAGCACCGGACTGGGCAAGTATTCATGGCCCTGAAGGGAAGGCCTCAGCCAAAAGTAGTGTCCTTCGAAGTCCGTTGCCAGAGGGAGTCCTTCTCTTACGTACGTTCGTTCTGAATCTGAGGGGCTGGTGGCGCCCCCTACATCACGAACACTTGAAAGCCGGCACCCGAAGTCCTAGACCGCTCTCGCTGGGAGAATCTCCTGAAGACATGACAATGAGATTTTGAAGTTGATCAACAACCACCGAAACTTCTCCTTAACTCAGCTGAAAGGCCTCCCATGCTCAAGACCCATGGCCTCCGCAGTCGCAAATCAAATGCCGTGAGGTTTGACAATTGGACCCCACAAGCCAATCGTGACGAGCACGTGTTTGTTGCCGGGATGCAGCAGAAACTCAGGCTGTCACCGGGTTTCCTACCGGGCTTGGGGTTTGGACTTCTGGCCCCACCACCGTCTCTGCCGGTTTTTGGACCCTTGCTTACCGGCAGCCTCATCGAGGTGACGGTTTCGCCAGTCTTGCAGTGGGAGTAAAACGCGTATGTGTGTCGTCACGTCCGCTTACCTGCTGGCTCGCCGCTGTTGGGTGCTCCCTCTTCGGACCACCAATCCGGTTTTGCAGAGTGGGGGAAGACGACTGGTGACTGGGTAGCTACCATCTGGTTCGGTTTTGCGGGCATGCGTCTGCCTGCTCCCTCTCTGCTCCGCTCTTCCGGCTAGTGCTTAGGCATTGGCACCCGTGACTGCGTTGTAGTTCCTGCATGAAGCCGGGAGTTTTTCGATGCTCCGCCCTCGCTTTGGGTTTCCCGAGTCCGGCCCGGCAGCTCTCGGTCGAACACCGGCTCTCTGACTTTTACCAGCGCAGAAGAAAGGGTCTATTCACACCCCTGTGGGAAACGGAAGCCGGGTAAACGAACACGTGAAGAGCAGGCCCCTTAAGACTCCAAAACCCGTTTGCCGTAGGCTCCATCTTCACCGGATTTCCGAGGTCGGCGACGCCTGCGAAGAGAAGGCTATGGACCTGGTGCAGCAGGGCTGGGGCCCAAAGAGCGACCCGCTTTGCTGGTTCCGATGGTTCCCCTGCATATCGGCGGAAAACTATACTACAGATAGTGTTTCCCCCCCAATGCAATGTGGGGAAAACATTTCTCATGTGTCGACCAGCACGGCCTCGGGTCGAAGCGGCAAGCGAACATGGTTGGCCGCGGGAGGAAATGTCAACCCTCGAGCGTCGCATGGACCTTTCAACAGGTCTTCTTAGCTCGTACGTGGGCTGATGATTGCGATGAACAGGAAGAGACGAAGACAATGAAGACAATGGTGCTGGTGGCGAAGGTAAGGCGGCTATGCTGGTTCGGTGGGCGGCAGCCCAAGGGACAACATGCGGCGGTGGAAACGGTTGTGGTTTTGGTCTGCGTCGTCGTCGTCGTCGTGTCGGGGTTGTTGTGGTGCTTCTGCTGCTTGTTCTTCTTGTGATTCTTCTTGTTGTTGCTGTTGCTCCTGTGCAATATGATTTTCTTGTTCGTAGCGGTTGTGGTTGTTACTCAACGTTGGTCATGATCATCCCCACATACCACATCTGCTTTTATCGTCACAACGTTCGTCATGATGGTTGATGATTGTCACGGTCAGCAAGCTTTGACGTTTGATGTTGGCCTAGGCTACATTCGCATGCCTTCCTGGACAGCCTCGGACTTCGGCGCGCTGGCCTCGCCGGACATTGCGGTTTCAGTGTCGGTGGAATTCTCGCAAGCTGGGTCTTCATGTACGTAGGCAAGCCAAGTGCTGAACGACATCGCTGAATCACGGGAAGCAGTGTTGAAAGCTTCGCTAGAGTGGTCAAATGAACGGGTCCATCCTCCTTCCGAGCTTTCTATCAATAGCAGTCATTGTAACTATAACAGTAATAATAGTAATGATAGTAATCATAGTAATACAAGTTACAACAGTTATAATAGGTACAGTAGCTATAATAGTTAATAGCTATAATCGTTATACTACTTACAATAGTTATAGTAGTAATACGAGTAATCATCGTAGTAAGAGTAAAAGCATTAAAACCAGGAGGAGGATGACGAGTTGAGGGGCCGGCTTTCGGCCTGGTTCCTGAGTGCCTGGGCCCCTGGCGTTTGCAGTCGTGCCTTCAATGGGCGGTTGAGGGGTTTAGGGTTTAGGGTTTAGGGATTTAGGGTTTAGGGTTTAGGGGTTTAGGGGTTTAGGGTTTAGGGTTTAGGGTTTAGGGGTTTAGGGTTTAGGGGGAATTGCCCTCAATCGCTTCAGGGGCTGACGCAGAAGCTGGCTCACTGCTACGACTGCTGCGGACTCTTGGCTTCACTATTACTTCAGGGCCGTGCTTCAGGGCCGCCATGACGGATGATTGTTCTGTCAGGCTGGTGGCATGGCCGTAGCTCACTGCTAGTATGTTTCTATGAGCCTCAAGTTCTGCGTATGTCTTTGGTTTCACCCAGTCCCCAGTCTGAATTATACGACCGTGTGCAGCCATCGTCCTGATGTCTGATGCATATTGATGCATTCGATTCTGTGCATTCGCACTTGTTAGTGTGTTGGGCTGAGAACACATGACATGTATCCCACCTTTGGCAGCCGACTCCGAAGTCTTTCCTGGACTCTGCAGTATCCGGCTCTGAGCTTCTGTTGCGGAGGCGTCCTGATGCGAATGCAAGAGCGAGAGCAGGCGCGTTTGGTCCTAGACTTTGCAATGGTTTAGAGTGTACAGTCGGATGATGAGATGACCTTGCCTTCATTGCTACCGCAGAAAAGCCTGCAACCAGAACACCGGAAGAATTGCACTTGAAATGGCCTGTTCGAAGACTCCATCCTGAACTCTCTGCCTGAGAGCTAACAGAACGGTGCGTAGCTATGCGATCACTGAAAGCAAACATCGCCTGCAGACGCAGAGCCTGGCCGCGACGGTTGAGGCAACGCTGTCGGCCTGCTGGGAACCTAGATTCCAGTTTGCCACGGATTAAGACGGCAGCCTAGCAGCAACACAGCTTGCTGCCCGTGATACTGATGCACCATAAGAACCTAAGATTGTGAAGACGAAGAGGGATGTGATGACCAGCATGACCGATGTTGACGGTGAGGTGCAGGACGAGAGCGGAGACGACGACGGATCACTTGTTGCTCTTCTTACTGCAACTTCTGCAGCTGGTCAGGAATAATGATACAAGAACAGCAACGATACCAACAACCACGGCCAACCAACACCAACCCAAGCAACATCAAGATAGCGTCAGAGGATCTGCACACCCTGTCTAAACACTGCGGGCTTCGGCTTGCAGGCCTGCAGCTCCGCGAGATGGAGCACCTGGCATGGGTTTGCCAAGTTCTCTCTTCTTGAGAAGACCCGGCGAAATTTCTGGCCTCTACAGTTTATCACGCCCATCGATGTGGCCGTAGACCCACGTTCGAGTCTGGAACTCTGGAACCTTACTCCCAAATCCAAAGCCTGACCGTTGCATACATACAGTTGTACGCACTTACCACACAATCAACAGAGTGTCAACAGCACTGCATGTAGCAATACACAGATATACATACGCATATACACTTACACATATGTGTATGCATATGTATACAGACCTTTACATTTATACCTCGTCATAGATGTAAATCAAGATACATGTAGATGTATATGCATACATATGTACACATATGCATACACACACTCATATATCTATATCTATATATATATATATACAAATACGCATGTATGGTTTTGCGCTGTCGCGCCGTTGTATTCTCGCCGAAGCTGGAGGCCCAAGCTGCTCGGGCAGGGGGGATGACTGTATTTTGGGACCATTGGTGAAAGGGGGGGGTGGAGGTGGGGGGGGGGGGGGGGGGGGGGGGGGGGTGGGGAGGGTCTATATTCATTCATGCATGCAAGTATTTGTATGTGTGTATGTGTATACATATATATATATATATCTATTTGGGTACTGCTTGCGCATGACCCCTTTCAGCAGCACCTCCCCATCGCCCACCCCTACCAGACCATACCATTAAGGGTAGGGGGGCGCCAGACGCCTGACCATATATATATATGCTCACCCCCGCCCCCCGTTGACAGACCATGCCCCTGTGACAGTATACTCCTGGCAGGTGACTCGGTAATAGTATTCGAAGGAGTATCAAGAAATATATCATAAGATTGTGAATGTACATACATATTGATATTCGTTTAAATACTGGCATGAGTATTGACAGACCGTGCCTTTTCAAGTGAGTCGTAGTGCATGGTGCTCCAACAATTCCAAAATTCCCAGACCTAGTGGACAGGATTTTTCCAGAACATAAGGGCGAACTTTTTGGACATTTTGGATCTTTTGGATTTTTTTCGCAGTTTTGGCATTTTCAAAATTTAGGTTTTCTGCGTTTATCTATCTGACCAATTTCTCTCGTTAAGCCAGGTTCTGGAATCCTCCGACCTGGCAGAGCAGCCGGCGAAGCTGCATTCAGCACTGCCAGTTGTCAACCGTGCCCGGCTGCAGAGCTTTGGCTTGTAGGGTAGGGAGAAAGGGTAAAGGGTGCTACAGGCACGTGAGGATGTAGAGGTAGAGTTCAGGGCTTCAGGTGTACAGGATTGAGGGAATCAGGATGTCGGGTTCGAGGCTTAAGGGCTGAAGGCGTCTCCAGGTCGAGAGTGAACGCTTGTGGGTAGCGAAGGCTTGTCGTCTGATATTTATTTGGAGTTGAAGGCAACGATCTCTCTCATTGAGTCGAAATCAGCTGCTGATTGCATGACGGTCCGAAGATAGCTCCTGGCCGCCATGTCGTTGTTACTGCGGAACAGTCGAGTGTCAGTCTTGAGTGGCCCGCACTTACACTGACACATTCAAAGAGTCTCGATTAAGATTGCAGCCTGAGCCGCACTTCAAAGACGTCAAAGACCTGCGAAGCCCTTCAGCTCGAAACTTTAGTTCAGCCATGCATGAGCTCAAACTGGGCCCTCTTAACCTCGGTCCGAGCAGACACACACGAGGAAGCAAGTTGACAGCAAAAAAAGCAAATGCACGTGCGCACCTGCACGAGCGGACATATAGACTTTCATGCACACAAACAGAGACACACCCTACCCATCCTCACATCCACCAGCATGGCCGTGGGTGCATCTGCGTTCACATACATACGTACATATGTACATACAACTCCAACCATCCGTCGGTCCATCCCCATCCACAATAATGATTTCCGTCATACATTCACACATGCATACATGCGTACATACATACATACATGCATGCGTACATACATTCACACATACATTAACACATACATGCATACCTACATTCATACACGCGAGCGTGCGCACGTACATACGTGCAGACACACACACACACACACACACACACACACACACACACACACACACCGGCACTCGCACAAAGCGCACATGCGAACACGATTCTGCGGCCGTCATGATCGTTGCAAAGCGTTCCCGGCTTCGTGTTGCGCTGCTCGGAGCAGGCAGGAGGCGGTAGATCCAATGAGTAGCTGAGTAGCGCGGATGAAGTTCGCGCGCACTAGGTAGCTCAGCTCAAACAACGCAAACACCGGCGCCTTTCGCTGCTGCGGAAGGCTTGCCGAAGGTGACGAAAAGCATGGACTTCTGCATACAGCCTTCGGGTTTCTGCAAGAAGATCTTTTGGCAAGCCGCTGGATCCTCATGGCGAGAAGCCGAAAGATATCAACTCCGATCGTATCCAGACCATCATGATCATGTTAACGTTTACATAGGAGAGTGAGAGAGAGTCTGCAGAGGGCAATGCGAGTGATAACAACGAGCATGAGCAGTAGAGTGATTTTGATGATGATGGTGATGATGATTGCGGCTATGGTGGTGAGAACGATGACGACGATGTTGAAGAATATAGTGATGCTTTCGATCATCTTGGTCAGTGGTGGGAATGGGGAAAGCTCGAGTCGAGCCTCCGCAAGGGAAGGAATTCCACCAGCAGAGACACCGGACTGCCACCCATCGACCCCCCACTTTTTGCAACGGATGTGAACCCAAATTAGGGAGCCCAACGAAGGAAACTTACATGTAGATAGTGTCTTCGGAGATCACCACCGTGCGGCCCACCTCGGTGCACGATTTTCGGGCTTTGTGTTCAGCTCCCCGCAGGCGCCCTTGCCGGTCTCGCGGTTCCCCGCGGTTTCAGCAACGTGGCCCTGCCGCGGCGAGGCTAAGTCGTGATTCCGCTTAAGCCTGGCTTGCAGGGTCGCCTGGAAATAGCTCAGGCAGCGTTGTTTTCGGGTTCTGTGTTCAGCAGGCGCGCATTTCACATCCACGTAATGCGTTTTGTAGTCGCTTTGCGCAATTCTGTCGCACAATTCCGTTGCAATGTCCAGACCTGGACGACGATGCCCATCTCGTCCAGCAACTGGGGCTCTAGCCTTAGTGCTTTCGTCCAGGGTGCAGGTCGCTATGAATACTGCGCGTTTACAGTCCTTGTTCCCCGCTTCTTCAGAGTAAGCAAGCCTACGGTCCAGATATGTCAACGGTACACGGTGCAAGGCACACGAGCTAAGATCTTTGACGTTCACAAAGACGAAATGAACCCAATGTCCTGAAACGGTTGCCAGGCGGCTGACCTGCACATCTGCATCCTAGCTTTGTGGATTTGTAGGCGCTTTGCCTGATGGCCTCGTGCCTACATTGTGGGTTTCAACGAAGCTGGTGTTTTTGAACGCTTTTTGATTGTGTCTGGTTCTAATATATAGAGGCTTAGCACGCATCTGCCAGACGTTGTAAAAACACCTGTGCCGTAGGCAATATGTAGGAGTTTTCCTGCGCTTGAAGTGGCAACAAGTGGTTGTTCAAAGGAGAGAGTACGAATGTTAACAAGTGGAGTGAAGGGAAGCCGACAAAGCGGAAGTGCCGTGGTTTCTTCTCACCAAACCTTAAACAAGCCGTGAGCTGATCCGCGGCTTTCAAAACTCAAGGCAGCTGGGCGCTTAGGCGAACAGCCCACAAAAAGGGAGTAAGTACTCTACCTGCCCGAAAATCCGGTCTTCTCAGTCATAGAGACTCAGGCTGGAGTACGATCCTGGAAAGATCGAGGACATCCGGAGGGTTCAGAAGTAAGGGCGAGTTGGCGTGTCTGCGAAGACGCTGTCCTTCATTCCCAGGCCATGTGGTGTTTGCTGGCCTATTTCGGGCTATTTGGGTCCTTTGTGTGCATCGGCTTGGATGTGCAAGCGGCGTCGATGTGTCCGCTTTCGCGAGCCCGTCTGACAGGTCCGCGCGTGCTTCCACCAGACGTGCAGCTGTGGTCTAGAAGTGTTTGCAGTGTCGATGGCACTTACTTGATGTTGGGCTTGCCGTCTGTCGTAGCACTCTGAATTGGTTCGTGCGAAGGACGGCCGCTTTACCATGTCAGCTTGATCGAGCGTGCGTCGCTCAACGATGTACTTGCACTCGTCGCGTCACGGAGCAAGGCCGCATGGACAGGTCCTCGATTGTCGGCCTCGCACGTCAGATCGCATCGATCCTTGTGACGTCGTGATACGTCGTGGGCAAATTCAGGGGGCCATTGACCGGTGGTCGCTTGCAGTTGCGTGTTCCATCAATGTTTCGCTCTACCACATGGAGGAAATGACAAAGTACAGATATGAAGAGCACCATGACCATGACCCTCAGATCCATGCAGCTTTGGAAGTCTCTCACCAGGCTCTAGCTTTGCAAGTAAGCCGCCCCGCTTTCTCCAGAAAGTTGTTCTGCATCCTGAGACCCGTAAAATCCCCGAGCCTTCCTAAACGCTAACCCATCCTAAACCCAAACCTGCCCAGCGTTTCCATGAGAGGAGTACTTCGCCGAGCATCCGACAGAGCTGGCCTCCCATTTTACGGCTGTGGCGGCGGCCGGGCGCTCCTGGGCAGTGCCTGTCCTCGGGGTTTCGGATTCTGGCATCGCGTCATAGGCTACTACGAGTAATGTAGGGGCCTTAATAGTTTGGGGGGCTCCTATATTATAACTCTAGTATAATGGGCCCCAAACCAATTCTAATAATTAGGGCCACTACTAGTACCAGTACTGGAGGCAGCAGGACACAGGACATCGTAGCGAGTTCTTTCAATTGCAGCAGGAGATTGATAGGAGGAATCTGCATGGAGGCCAGTGCAATCACGATGAGCAACTTTGAGCATCGCGCGTGATCAGACTCGCATTGCTTATCACAGTCACGTTGGATCCCGCAACTTACAAGGTTCTGTAGCCGACAGTTCCCCATCTTTGCACCATGCCTTGCAAAACGAAGGTGATTGAACGTCTATATAAGCCGTAAGCTCTGCGCACCTCGTGACGTTGTGTCGGAGTGGCCGGGTGGGTGCGTGGGGGGGTGAAATTAAGTACCAGAGACTTTCTTGGCAAGTTCCTGTATACCGTGTCGAGCTGTACGCAACCTTGCATACTCAAACACCGTAGAGTGCTACGCAAACCCAGCTGCTCGATTTAAATTTCGAGTTGCTCTTGTACCGGTTCCAAACCTCCAGAATCATTGGCACCCGCTTGCAAGCTACGAATCCTCGATTCCGTTGGGTCTCCCTCCCTGATGCCTGGCCTGCTTCAGTCTGTGCTGGGGCTTTTGACATTTACTGCCGCCGGGACCTCGCTCAGGGCTGTCGGGTTGAGGTATTAAAAGCTTGTGGCATCTTCCACTTCAGCATGGAGATTTCAAGCACATCCAGGAAATCCGTACACCGTAACATACCTGAACCGTAGAAACAATCATGTATTGGTAAGACCTATAGGTTGTTGTCGCAGGGCCGACGTAGTTTGATACTCCGACCGTGACAGCTAATGCATCATCAGACCTAGAGCATCACATAAGGATGGGTCGCTGACAGATTTCTGCGCATTTAGCAGCTCAGTCGCGACTTGTTCGCCACAAATCGATGCAGTCAGAATTTGCAGAACTTCAGGTTGCCACAATGACGGCAGCTGTTCGGGCAACGCTGAAGCTGTCACCTTCGGAAGAGGCCGTCAGTGCGGCTTGTACTTTTTCAAGGAGCTGGGTGTAAGAGGAGCGAGAGCACGGTTGCCTGAGGGTCCGCATTGCGCACAAAAGCAATCAACAACTACGAACCGGAGCCACCAGCGTCTTCCATCTCATGCTATTTTCCGGGCCCTTTTTGGGAAGTTTATGCCTGATCCAGCGGTCCAGGGCGGGGAAAAGCTCAAGAGGCACTTGGTGTGTGAGGGTGGTTGGGCGTGGGCCAGCGGGCGAATGGCACCGGGAAAGCATCCAGATGCTGTGAAGCGGCTCTCGGATGCGGAGCTTGCAGCTTTGCTCGCTCAAGCAGACATTAGAGGCCAAGCACTCGTAATCCCCACTGCACGCAGCAGCCAGACCTCTTCTGCAAATCACTTAGCCAGCCTTATACTCACAACCCCCACTACCCCCAGCCCTAGCCCGCACGTTCTGAGCCCCATCACTTGGGGCTCTTGACCCCGGACTGCTCTAGCACTCGGGCAC